AACGAAAACCCTAATTCTAAGTAAAAACTAAAACCTTATCAAATCTTCTAAATTGCTAAATCAAATCTCTAAGATTAATTCAATCTAACCTAAAAATGTCAATCACTATAATTAATTTCCTAATCTAACAAATCCTAAAGCCTATAAATTTATGCCTAAGCAGTTGGAATCAGACAGAGAAAACCCTTGGAGATTCTGGTTGTTGCTGTGCATTCTATACCCTCACTAAAGTTCTGCTTCAGTGGAAAAACTTGGGTTTCACGACTGACACCCTAAGTTCTTCAGAGCTCGACCGCATCTCTCAGTTCAAAGTACTTATAGAAGAAAGAGAAAGACATTAGAAGGAGAATAAGAAAAACCAGAACAGGACTAATATTACGATATTCACTGCACATAACGTAATTCTAAAACTTAGCTTAGGGTATAATTTGTTGATGATTGATTGGTGTTATTCTTCTGTGATTTCGATTTGAGTTGGTGTTTATGGGTTTTTGTTTTGATTTGGGGTTAAGGTTAGGGTAAAACATGTTAGGGTTTTGTAATTTGGGTTAGGGTTCGGTACAGACTGGTTAGGGTTTGATGATTTTCTTAGGGTTTAGAGGTGGGGTTAGGGTTCTTGGGGTTTGGATGAATATTTTTTAGGGTTAGGGTTGATCTTCATAGGGTTCATGCGAACCCATATGAAGATATGAAGACGTCTAGGTTTTTACTGAAGGTTGGATGAAGATCTTTAAGATCTGGGTTGGGGTTATGAACCCAGACGATGGCGAAGATTTAATATATGAGTTCTCCGGTTGAAGATCAACCAGGAATTGGGTTTCAAGGTGGTTCAAGGGGTGTCTCAGGGTAGCCCATGGCGGCGCCGCTGGCAAGGCGATTTTCTATCGCCAGAATTCTAGAGAGAATGCCTCTCTCTCTTGAAAATTATAAGGGGTTGGTGTTATTGTATGGAGAGAGAGAAAAAGAAGAGAAAAATGAGCCTGGAGCTCATATATCCACTTATATAATACTCTCCTTGTATTTGGATACGCGCTAGGTGGCTCCCTGAGAGCCCTTGGATGAGGTGACTATTGACTAGTCACCTATGCTTTGCTTTCCGTACGCCCTCAATCAACATTGAATCCCATTAATCCACTTTGATTACCTGCAAATGAATGCTCTAGGGTTGGATCCTGAGAACTGTTTGATTAAACGCACATTCCATATCCCTTATCCTCGTGATAACACCACACACCTCCTCATATATTGCTCAAACAAACCCAATGTTTATTTTGAGCTTTTGAATGAAACCTCAGGCCTAAGGCATGTTCTCTTAACAACCCCTAACTTATTTCATTTTGCTGATTCAGTTATAATTCTTACCCCCTGGGCCATTAGACTTGAAACAAAACCTTGGGCCTAAGCCCTTACTCTTCAGACCCCCTTTTACTACCTAAGTTCAAAAACACATTCTCTCTAGTATATATGACCATGGCTAACAGCCACAAGCCTTTTCTCGTCGATCGAGTTTATCTGGTCCATCCTAGTCTGAATCCACTTGTCTTCGTCTAAACATGCGTCTTTCATAATCCTTAGAGAATGAATTTGGACTTCGACAGGTAAGACAACCTTCATACCATAGACTAGAGAGAATGGGGTTTCCCAAGTTGATGTATGCACTGAGGTGCGATAACCATGAAGATCAAATGGTAGCATCCCATGCCAATCTTTGTACGTCGCCATCATCTTCTTCAAAATATTCTTGATGTTCTTGTTGGCGGCTTCCACTACACCATTTATCTTCGGTCGATACAGAGAAGAATTTTGGTGTTTAATCTTGAACTGGGTGCAGAGTTCCGTGATCATAATGTTGTTAAGATTGGTACCATTGTCTGTGATAATCCTTTTGGGGATGCCATACTGATAGATAAGGTAATTCTTAATGAATCGGGCCACAAAATTATTGGTAACAGAGGCAAATGAGGCTGCTTCAACCCACTTCGTGAAATAATCAAAAGCGACTGGGATGAAACAATGCCCATTAGAAGCCAGAGGCTTAACTCTCCAATCATATCAATTCCCCACATTAGGAATGAACAAGGAGCAGTCAAGACATTCAAAGGAACCAGAAGCACATAAACTTTATCAACATAAATCTGACATTTATGACAAGTTCTACAATGATGATGGCAATCAGTTTCCATGGTCGACCGATAATAACCTGCTCTCAGAATCTTCTTAGCCATTGTGTGACCATTGGAATAAGTACCAAAGATACCTTCGTGCATGTCTTCCATAATCTTCTCAGCTTCCTTCTTTTCTACACAATGAAGCAGAGTCGAATCACGATTACGCTTGTACAAAATTCCATTTCTCAGAAATAACTTGGTAGAGAACCTTCGTAGAAACTTATTGTCATTGATAGATTCCCCCTTGAGGTACTCTTGAGCCTCGAGGTATCTTTTTACTTCATGAAACCAAGGATTTTCTTCTACTCCATCAGTATCAATTTTGTAGCAATACGCTGGTTCGTCTAGCTTTTCGATAGTGATTCGAGGAGCTTCATTGTCCCATCTGACTTTGAACATAGATGACATGCTAACTAATGTGTCTTCCAACTAATTCTCTTCTCGTGGAATATGTTCAAAAGTGATTTCGTCGAAGTACAAAATTAATGCCAACATATGCTCCCGATAAGGAATGAGATTTGGGTGCTTCGTATCCCATTCTCCCTTAACCTGACTGATCACTAGGTCGAGTCCCCGTACACGTCTAAGAACTTGATTCTCATGTCAATAGCAGTCTTGTTACCCATGATGCATGTTTCGTATTCGACCATGTTGTTGGTAGTCAAAGCAAAGTCTGGAGATGAAGGGCGTATGGCAACCCTTGGGAGAGATAATCACAGAAATGATTCTGTTACCTAGTGTGTTAGAAGCTCCATTGAAAACCAAAGTCCATCGGGATCCCGACTCAGGTCCTTCATACAGTTTTGGTTTTTTTATAGTCTGTAACTAGCATAATATTCTCATTCGAGAACTCGGAATTCATAGATTGATAGTCGTCTACGACTTGATGAGCCAAATGATCTGCCAATACACTTCCTTTGATTGCCTTTTGAGTGGTGTGTTAAATGTCATATTATGTTAAGACAATTTGCCATCTGACTATCCTTCCGGAGAGAGCTGGTTTCTCGAATATGTATTTTTTGGGATCCATCTTAGAGATCAACAAGGTTGTTTGAGTCAACATATACTGTCTTAGTCGGCGAGCAGCCCATGCCAAAGCACAGCAAGTTTTCTTGAGTAGTGAGTATCTTGTTTAACAGCCGTAAACCTTTTGCTAAGGTAGTATATTACATGCTCTTTTCGACCAGACTCATCATGTTACCTCAGTACAAACCCTACTGAGTTCTCTAACATTGTTAGGTATCATGTCATACCATTACAATGCAACAAGATCATGCATTAGGGTTTCGGTACTTCTTCTACTATGTCTTATCTTTAATTTTGCTCTTGAGAAATCACCAAGCACCTTGAATCGTGTATCTTGTATACATGTGTTTTATATTTTTATTAACCTCTAACCAAAAATCAAAAATATGTTTTGTTTATTTTGTTTTTTTTAGAAGACAAGGTTTTAGATCTAGGGATTCAGGTGATGGCTCTCCGATTAGGGTTGTGGTTTGTTCAGGCCAAAGATGGTTCCCAAAAGTCTATGTTTCAGAGTGGTGATCTATAATCTTAGGTCACGTTATCCTTAAGCTTCGTTTAGTATGGTTAAGGCAAGTTTGATTGCTTAAATTCTCAAGACTCTTTGAGATAGATTCATGTGTTTATTTTCATGCCTTCTTCGATGAGTAATATCGAGTCCAGACAGGTGTGAGCATGATTTGATCAATACTTCGTCATCTCAAGTTCATATGTGATTAAGAATGCCTTGGGTTGTAAAAAAGATCAAGTTCGCGAGATGATTCAAAGTTGTCGGACCAAAAGTCAACATTTTCATGTTCGAGTTCAAATAATCATAACGTCCTTATTGTTCAATATTTTTGAGTTATTCTTTGAGCATATGAATCTCCTTTACGTCATCTCCAATTTCTCTTTTCAAGTCGAGAGTTGATTATATGTTAAAAGGCCATCAAAAGTTTGAGTATATTAGAGGTTGTTTTGAGGACATTGACCTATTTTCAAAGTGACTTTCGTCCAACTTACAAGGATCATAATTCTTTCAATCTTCATCGTTTCGGGTTGATTCTTTTTGCAACATGTCACAAATGAAATTATCTACAAATTTGATTAAAGGGTTGAAGCCGAATTGTATTTAGAAGGTCGTGAAATTTTTTGAAACTTCATGGATCATTTTCTTTGGTTTAGAAGTACCTTGACCATTTGAATTGCAAATCCACTAATTGTTTGTTACTTGTGAATTGAAGTTGGATTTTTGATTTAAAGTTCCTTTTGTTTAAAGCATGATTACTCAAAGCTTTCAAGACTTTTCAAGACATCATTTCAAAGTTCAAATTCAAGATACAAATTCTAGTACATTTATGAGTATTTCTTCAATTTTAAGTTGCTTGAAAAACTTAAACGCATTCATCTTACTTCTTTCAAGATTCCAATTCAATGATCAGTCAAGAAACTACTAGTCACTGTTTTAGCAATGCATTGGTTTTCTCAAGATTTCAAGGGATATTCAAGTGAAATGTTCAAGTCACTAAAGAATTTCAAGCCCTTATTTTGTTCAAGAATTCAATTCTAGCTTCAACTTACAAGAACAATTTCAAAAAAAAAGTTACAATGCTTAATAACGTTTCAAGCTTCAAGTTCAATATCAATTAAAATTTTCAAGCATTACAAGGCATAATTCCAAGTGGAAATTCAAAAGTCCAAGAAGCCAAATTTCATCCAAGTTCTAATATGTCTACAATTTAGAATTGTGGAGAATTTGAATTCAAATGTAATAAATTATCAAGTATTAACCAAGTTCTACGAATTACATGTTTCATCCAAGAATTCAACCTAAGCTCGAAGAGAGAACCGAGACTTAAGATGAAGAAGAAGAGAATTAAAAGGGAAGAGGAATACCTCAGTGTCCTGGTTTTCTCTGCCACTTGCATCACAATAGTTGAAATAGTGAACGAGTTTCAGAATAATGGCCAGAAGCGATTGAAAGAGAGAGACAGAGCGATGAAAGTGAGCGGTTGAAGAAGAAGACAGTGGAAGGCAAGGGAAGAAGACCGAGTTTGAACACCCTGATTCGCAGTGTCGAACAGAGACGAGAGAAGGAACATCGGACTTGAAGCTTGGCCGCCGCGGTTTTGAGTTTGAGAGGATGAAGATAACTATATTCTTGTGCAAGTTGAAGCGTGACAGTCTCTTTACCATAATCCCTTTTCTAAATACTTTTTTATTATAATTTTTTTTCTTTTAACTTGGGCTGACTAATTTTGCTGGATGTTGTTGATTGGGATGGTCGGGCCATCCAAGGCCAATTACAGTTTTTTCTTTTTATTTCTGGAAATTGCGCTCAATGTAGAGCTTACTGTCCATACCCCTATATCTGCTATGCACCCCCCTAGGTCTTTATATTTTTACCAAGTGATTGATCAATGTTCACAGTTTTTCTGTTTTATTTTATTTTTTTAATTTCGCTTTAATTAGTATTAAAATTTCAAAAATTCATTTTAAATTCAATTTTTGTCCAAAATTTAAAAATACCTTTTTGTTTTAAAAAATTACAAAACAAATTTGTAAAAATATTTGAGATCATTTCTGACTTTTATATGGTCTGGTTTTATTTTTTTTGATATTTTGAATATAATTTGTATTTTTGCCTTTTATTTTTATTTTTAAAACAATTTAAAAATCAATTTTTTCATTTTGTTTTGATTGTTAAATGCAATTTTATTTTTGTAAATATTCTGGCTGATCTTGGACTATGTGAATTTTAATCATGAGCTTTATTAATATCATTGGATCTTGGGTGTTGAGTTTAACTCCACCAAAATGGATGGATGAATTTAATGATAGCTTGATTAAATTCTTTGGTTTAAATGTGGAATTTAATTTTTTGTTCATCTTCATCTCATCCTCTTCTCACTTGTGGTATATGTTGTTAGAGGATGATCTACATATCATCTCTCTAAACATATGACACATAGATTGATATTGACCGTCCTTAAAATATGTGCACTTCTATATAAGTCCACTTACGATTGCTTAACATAGCGTTACATTTTGTCCTGATTCGAGAAATGTTATTCATGGCCCAGACCTATGTTTGCAAGCCCATGTATTATTAATTTGAAACCTTTGATCCAACAACCTTGAGGTTCATTTTTAGGAGGCTTTGGTATTATCAATCCTCTAATGAATCTTCATAATTTTTGGACTAAATGAATCATTTAAACATCGTTGATCATTTATTGTCGCCTCGAGATTTTGAAATGAATGATATACTTGACAAAAAGAAAATGAAGAAACTAGTTGTTGAGAGGCTTTGATTTTATCAATCTTATAACGAGTTTTCAAATGCAATTTTCAAGATGGTCATTCAGCTAACCTATAATCTCTAACTCATTAACAGTTGACTTTTATCTTTATGCTTTTACTTTACGCCTTTACTTTTACGCACCATTCATTTGGCATTTACATCTCATGCTATTTCCATCTTTGCTGACTTGAGCTTTCATTTTCTTTTTGAAGATACCTAATAACCAACTTAAACTATAAAAAGATTTAATGCTACTTGGACTATTTGGTTACTATCCTTGGCATTATGGAGATTGAGGACCTTGTGGAATCCATGAGTAGAGACCTTGACCTACCTTGAGACCTTATAACTTCTATTGATATTTTGTCTGGAGTTCTTGGGGTTTACCCCAAGACATTGGGTTGTTTGTTTTCTTTGTGTGCAAGTTATTTTAATTATGTGCTTTGTCTGTGATTGGGAATTCATCTGTATACAGCCGTCACTCTGCCCAATTTTTGTGAAGAGTTAATGCATCTGAACTTGGTAATTTTTAGAGATTTAATATCTTTGCTTGCTTGGTTTTAATCCAAAGGATGGGAATTATATATTAACTCATTGTGTCAAGTGTTGGCTTCTTGTTGGTTAGACAGTTCTTTTCCCTAGCTTTTACCTTATGCTTTAGGATAGTCCCTACATCTCCTCCCATCTTTTTTAATTTCAAAAAATCTTCCCCCTCCTTTTGCAAACTCTTCTTGTTTTTGAACTTGAATTGCTTTAGCAATAAACTTGGACTTAGGTTCATGCATTTTCAAAACACTTTCTTAATCCAACATTAAACAACTTAATCATACTTTGACATTTTTGTGAGAAGACTAAAATTCAATCAATCTCATTCAAACTATTTTGCAACTTTGGCTTTTTACCTTAAAACTTTTCTGAAAAAGACTAGACTCTTGCCAATCCTTGTAGTGATGTGAGCTACTATACTTCTACGATATGTAGGGAAGTGAGATATTTTTCACTTGGGTGTTGTGTAAGGCTTTGTTGATTTTAAAATCCAAGCCACATCCTTCACTTTGAGATGATGTAAATTCTCCTTTCTCATAATCGTGGGTAGTAAGTATGTTCTTCCACTCGGATAAGACGATGATGTATTGTCTCTTAAAATTAACCAACACACTTGTGTTTAAAAAAATTTAAAGGTGAATTACAAGTACCCTGATCCCCTATTGCACGGAAGGTGGTACGTAGGAACTAAAGGTTCGCAATTGCGGTAGGTGCAAAAATTTTAAAAAATACTTCTTTTCTCATCTCCACCATCTATTTTTCTATACAACACTTATAGTAAAAATACACAAATTTTCAAAGAGGTTCCTGCGGAGTACTGTATATTTTTAGGGTGCTAATACCTTCTGTTGTACCCCAAAATTTTCCCTCCCATTTTACTCAACATATATTCATTGAAATCCTCAACTTGCTCAAGGATGCCCAAGAGTTGACCGGACAAACTCTCTCCTAAAGCAATGAACCTCCAACTAGGGTTTCCATTTTCATCAAGATGGGTGAGATCAAAAGGCCTCATATGCTCTCCATAGTCCTAATATGTTCTCAATACCATCCATGTCAAGATTCATGCCTTGCACAAGAAGTTTGCTCAATCAACTGCTCAGATGCTTGAAAATCAACTATTTTAGGTCAAAAGTCAACTGTGGCCCACTTACAGTTAAACTTTAAGATTTTTGGTCAACATCAACATTTTGAAGTGATATCCATCATTTGATCAAGGGTTGATCATGATTCCCCAAGAAATGCTCCTAATTCATCAAAACTCAAAAGTTGTTAAATTAGGGTTTCTCAGGAAAACTCAACCAAACTTTGACCGGGCATAACTTTCTCATACTTTATCAGAAATTTCCCATCCAAGGCTCATTTTGAAGACAATCCAATTCCCCACAACCAATATTCATCAATCAAGCTCAAAATAATGCACTCATGGAAAGATATGAATTCAGACATTATAGGTTATTCCAAAAAGTCAACAAAAACACCTTTTGGGTCAAAGCTTCTTACATGAACATGGAAGATCCAATTGAAATGAAACCAAAAGGGTTGTTTAGGGGACATCCTAATATTTATAAAAAGTCCAAGAAAACCCCCTTGTGGTCAAAATTGAAGGAGATATGCATTGCCAAAGTTGACCATTTTTAGAAAATTGTCAAAAGTCAACAATGCCCAAAATTGCATTTTTTTGTCAAATGGGCCTAACTTTTTATGCTTGTGTTGTACCCCAAAATTTTCTCTCTCATTTTATCAATATTTCTCATCACAAGACTCTTTGAACTCAAGATCAAGCTAGGGTTTGCTCTGCTAAAGACATCTCCTTGCATTGTTGACCTAAATTAGGGTTTGAGTTTGCACAAGGATTTTTGGACTATCAATGCTCAATGTGACTTTCATACTTCATGTTGGACCTACAAGATTTCTCATACCAAGTTTCAAGCCTTAACTCAAATTTTTGCCCAGTCAATTGGACAGTTGACCTAGAAATCAGTTGTATTATAAAAAAGTCAACTGTGGCCAATTTACAGTCAAACCTCATAAATTTTGATCCATATCAACATTATAAACTCATATGAACCATTTGATCAAGTTTGGACTACAACTCCTCAAGAAATTTGATCAGATCATCAAAAGGGTAAAATGGTCATTTTTAGGATTTTGACTGCAGAAGGGAAATTTCTGACTTTTCACCTAGCCAATGGAAAATTGGGTTCAAGCATGTATTCAAGGACTAAATGTCATCATCTTGACCTATTCACAAGGTTTAAAAGATCTCAATTGCATTGGATTGACAGATGAATTTTTCAGTCAACTGATCAAAATTTAACTGTACACTGAAAAGTCAAACTTTGACTTTTTGGTCAAAATCAAGTGGCAAGGGTCATTTTTCATCAAGATATGCCAAAACATGAAACTTGTTCATCAAGAAACCCAATTTTGCAAATTAGGGTTTAAGATTGAAAAAATTTCATAACAGAATTTTTCTAAGTTATGAAATTTCCTTAATTTTTCCCAACTTTGTCCAACATTTTCACTTTGATACAATTGGATTCAAACAAAACTTCCAACATTAAAGTTATAGTCCTACACAAAATCTCTAACTTTGAATCACAAAGTTTTCTCAAAAGAAGCTTGGATCTCAAGTTATGATTTTTGAAACAAGGGTCCATGAAACTTTTAACTTAGTGAAATTTTGCATTAGTTTAGGCAGGATTTTGACCTATCTTTATGGTTATGGAGAATCAAAGGTTTGAATTTGGCAAAAACTCACTTTTGATCCATGGCATTTTCATGTTGATACAAGTGGAAACTTCTGTCCAGCTTCATTTGTACTTGATTACAGGTCCCTAAACCCTTTCATAATCAATAATTAAATTCAAATCCATTGGTTTGAGGCTTTTTTCTGATCATGGGAGGATTACACAATAGATTAATCCAAAAATAGCAAAAAGGCAACATTGCCATTTTTTTCAAATTTACTTTATGTCAAATTGCATTCTTGAGCCTTGAACTAAATCCTAGGCTGAAAACCAAATCCACAAACTTGGGGCCAAGCTTACACAATGTATGCAGGGTTAGAGCTAGCTTGTACAGGCCTTCTCTTTGTCACTTCTCATTTTTGATTCATAAACAAGTAAACTTGCCAAAGAGCCAGAACTTGCACATCTGTTATAACCAAGCCTAGTGACCATTCCAAACAAGTTTTGCATATTTCCTTGAGCCAGAAACACTAATTGTTGAACCCTCAAGCTTTCCAAACACAAAATCACCTTCCTTTTGCAAAACATGGCACTCCCTGCAGTTTCACTTCCATAGCAAAAACCACTCGTGCGTTTTTCCCCAAACCTGTTCA